ATCTGAAGTGGCGGAGGCAACCAACATTCTGAAGTGCCTTTAGGGAGCTCCTGCAAAATTCTAAGCTCTGTACACTACTTGATATCTAAGTTATTTATCTCCACGATCACATGAGGCATTTAATGTCATCTCAGTTTTACAGATGAGAAAACTGAGTCTCAGAGAGCCTGAAACCTGCCCATAGTCAAAGGAAGCCTGTTGGCATTTGGTAATAAATCAGGTAACGAGGCCAGTTTTGGCAGCTAGCGCCTGAATCCCAGCACTTCGGGAGGCCGAGGCAGGTGGATCACGAGGTCAGGGGATCGAGACAATCCTGGCTAACATAGTGAAACCCTATCTCTACTAAAAATGCAAAAAATCAGCCGAGTGTGGTGGCACATGCCTGTAGTCCCAGGTACTCAGGAGGCTGAGGCAGGAGAATTGCTTGAAGCTGGGAGGCAGAGGTTGCAGTGAGCCACTGCACTCCAGCCTGGGTGACAGAGCAAGACTCTGTCTCAACAAAAAAAAAAAAAAAAAAAAAAAAAAAAAAAAAAAAAAAGAGAGAGAGAGAGAGAGAGAGTGAGAGAGAGAGAGAGAGATATCTTAAAAAAAAAAAAAATCAGGTAACTAAGAACCAGGGAGAGTCATGACATCATAGAGCTAGAGCTCATGTCAGGAAGTCCCAGAGACCAGCTTTTGAATTCCAGCTGTGCCACTTCCCAGTCCTGTAATGCGAACAATGTGTGCTTAGTGCCCTTCTCATTTGTGACATGGGACAATAATAGTATTTCCCCTAAGAGTGTGGCTATGACTAGTTAATGACTAATATATGTATAATCTTAACAGAAAGTGAAAATAAATTACTTTGTTAGAATGATGATTTAGACCTCTAATGAAAAAAATTCAAGCCTAAGATAACTTAAATTTTACAAGGCATTCTCACAAAAACTGTATCTCATTGACCTAGTAGGTAGGGCAGACATCATTATCCCTTTCTACAGAGGAGGAAATTGAATATCTGAGAGGTCATTTCTATCCATGGAAAGATCACTGTTTGATTATTCACTTTTTACACCCTCTATCCTTCACCCCTAACTTGGAAAGGGGTGGGGGAGAGGGTGTGTGTTATGTGGGGGCAGGAGAATGTATGTGTGCAATCTATTGGGTTTTTTGGTCATCTCTATATCACCAAATAATTGTACAGTTTATGGATAACGATTGGTGTTAAATTCTTTTTTTCTTTTCCTTTTTTTTTTTTTTTGAGACGGAGTTTCACTCTTGTTGCCCAGGCTGGAGTGCAATGGCGCGATCTCAGCTCACCACAACCTCCACCTCCTGGCTTTAAGTGATTCTCATGCCTCACCCTCCCGGGTAGCTGGGATTACAGTCATGTGCTACCACGCCCAACCAATTTTTGTATTATTAGTAGAGATAGGGTTTCTCCATGTTGGCCAGGCTGGTCTCGAACTCCTGACCTCAGGTAATCAGACCGCCTCAGCCTCCCAAATTGCTGGGATTACAGGCATGAACCACTGCGCCTGGCCCTGATTAGTGTTAAATTCTAAACCAACAAATGTATGAGTCGGTGAATGTGGCATACATGAATTTGCCCAAAATAAGAAAGCTAGAAAGAGGCTCCAGAATGAACAAAACCTGAATCTCTAGACTCAAGACCCCAAATCCTTTCCACCACCACATGCTGTATTTTCAAATGACAGTATTTAACAGAATCATAGAATTTCAGATATAAGAATGATCTTGGACCACTTCACCCAGCACTCCCATTTCACAGATGAAGAACCAAAGGCTCAAAGAAGTTCCATTAGTTGACCAAAGTTACACAATTAGATAAGAGAGCTGGGTCAGCACCTGAGTTCCCTGACTCTGAGGTCAAAAGTGCTCCCACTGCACCCTGGCAGATTCAAGAGCGGAAAACTCCCCCAAGCCTTCAGGTGGCAACTGAAGTTTGTGAGTGACAGTGTTCATGTCATGCACCCAAACCACTGCATATGCACACACTGTTGCCTGGCTTATAAAGCAACATGAAAAGAGGATTCAGTTGGGTTTCAGTTAAAAAGGTTCTCATTGGTGTCACTAGCAATGACTTGACCATGACTCTGTGAGCAGAAGCCAGTATCTGTGTGCAAATGCAGGAGAAAAAAGATGGCCTTAGCTAGTAAAATAAGGAGAGAACACTTTGAGAGGCCCAGGGAGGAGGATCATGAGGTCAGGAGTTCGAGATGAGCCTGACCAATACAGTGAAACCCTGTCTCTACTAAAAATACAAAAATTAGTCGGATGTGGTGCCGTGCACCTGTAGTCCCAGCTATTCAGGAAGCTGGGGCATGAGAATCGCTTGAACCCAGCAGGTGGAGGTTGCAGTGAACTGAGTTTAAGCCACTGCACTCCAGCCTGGGCAACAGAGCAAGACTCTATCTCAAAAAAAAAAAAAAAAAAAAAAAGGAGAGAAAGCTTCTTCCTAGTTTCTTTCTGAAACTTGCAAACCACCCTAGGTTCCAGCCAGGAGGCTTGAGGTCTGGGCAGATCAGTAAGGCTGGCTCTCTAGCATCAAAAAAAGAAAAAAAAAAATGTAGTACTATGGTAGCCAGGCCTTTTTTTAATGATGAAGATGTCAAGTTTGTAATGTGCCATGTCCATGTTAGCATAGAGGAAGACAGGCACACTGGAAATTGGCTGTGGACATGTTTTGTTGAAACATCAGTGTTTCAACCAAGTGACATACAGAAATGAAAAAGAATCAATTCACAACTGCCCCCGTGAGCATGTCCTAGTTGGCTTTTGCTCTGATTAGCATCCGGATGAGAACATATCTCTGGATGCATATTTGTATATGGGTTCATATGCACATTATGACAAGAGTTCCACCTAATTCTTATACGTTGTAGGTGCCAAATCAATGTTTGTGGTATTTATGATTTCTCAGTTATACCCATCCTGCAAATTTTTCTTTATAGAACTTATTATACATGGAAATGTACATGTGTTTAATTAATGTCAGGCTCTCCTATGACAGCAAGTACTATATTTATTTTACTCATGATTGTATCACCTGCCGTAAACATAGTGTTGAGTCTGTAGCTGGTGCTTAATAATTATTTGAGGATTAAATAAAATAAGGGAGGAATAACTAGATGACCAGGGCCCTGACTTCTGGGTTGAACTCCATCATTTAATTAACCATTTGACTTTGGTTAACTCTTAAATGTAATTTTGGAGCTAGAAAGGATCTTAGAAATCAACTTATTAGATGATTGCAAACTTCGTTTTAGGAGTAGAATCCAAAGTAAAGCACAGTTGAAATCTTAACACAATAGTGAATGCTGACCTTCTCTAGTATAAGGGAGGTGTAGGGCTCAGAATCCCGCATAATCACCTCTTTGCTACTCTCCCCACATTGCAATGGTTTCTATGGCTACTTAATTAATCCTCAGGTTTTCAAATAACATAGGCTGAAAACTGCTGATCTACATCAACCCTATCATTTGATAAATGAGGAAAGTAGAATGCAAAAGATGAGGGAGCCTACCTAATGTCACAAGACCAGTGCATGAAGAACTGAAATCAGTATTGAGAGGTCTTAATCCCCCATCCTCATTAGCAACCTTTTACCTCTCAACATGTCTAAAACAACCCCCCAGATGTTTACAAATGATTGTAAGGAAAAATGTTTGGAAAAACGTTTTTAGAGCTCTGCAACACTTTACATTTGGAAGCTATACCAGGGGAGGCATCCAACAGAATGTTTGGAAGGAAAGCATTGGGGTCAGGTAAATCAGTGTGTGGACTCCAGCTCCACTCCTTACTAGATGGATCAGTTATAGAAATGCATTCAACCTCCTGATTTTCCCATCTGTAGAAGCTACTGCCCATCTCATGGAGGAGGTTATGAGGATTGAACATCCTCCCTTCGTGGCACATGATAAGTGCTCACTAAAAGGATGCTACTGTTAAATATTCTCAATCTGTGGTTCCATTCATGGTACTTGTTATTTCAACAGCAATAGAAAACACATAGGGATATCTCTGGTTTATCTAACATGAACCAGAGATATCAAACTGCATTACTGCCACCACCCTGTGGTATTATGACTAGTTATCCTCCCAAGAGTACACCTGACTATACCTGAGAGTTTTTTGCATTCTCCAATTCATTTAAGTTCACAAATTCATTGTGTGTTTATGATAACAAGGCAGGGCAAAAATCACTATAGGGATCTAGAAATGAATTCTGTATAAGTCATTCCCTCAAAGAGTTTCCAGTTAGGTGAGAAAAACATACAAGAATGCACTCTACTTCCAAATGATTTTAAATTAAAGAGGTGTTAGTGTAGAGAGCTGTGGATATATCAAGGACATGGTGGTTAAGTGGAATGTGAAGACCTTAAGATAGTTTCAAAGAGGAAAGCTTTGGACTAGGTCTTTTTCCCGATGAGTGGAATGTCAATAGTCCAAGAAACAGTACGGACCTGCTCAAGAAAATGTTTCTTTTTTTCCCAAATGTTTGAATGTGTTTGAGTAGGATATTAGGTACATTCGCAGCATTTTCAAAACAATGTTACTTATACTTGTGGTTAATTAAAATTATGACTATGGATGCAGATAAACCAGATTATGAATCCCAGTACAACCACTTCTAACTGTATAACATTGGACAAGTAACTGAACCTGGCTGAGGCGTGATCACCTAACTGGTAAAGTGGAAAAAACAATCAAAACCTATATCTGATGGTTATTAGAAGGTTTAAATGAGATAATGCATAATAAGTATTAAGCCCCATGCCTAGCATATAAATAAGTACTCAATACATATTATTTGATCCTCTCCTTGACATTGTTAATCTCTTGTGCAAAGAAAAAAAAAAGTGAAAAACAGCTTGTGGAAGGAGCACAGACCCTTGACCCCGACACTTCTGCGTATAGCAAGGGTTGCACCAATCAATGCCCGACTCCGCAAAGCACAATGTGAATAAAAGGCAAGGACTATTTAGCCCAGGTCTTACCTGTATATTTTATATCTGGTTGTAAATCCTTGACGGTGTCTTTCCACAAAGGATAGGTAGCTCCTGGAGTGGTGGAAAGGCCCCCTGTCTGAAATAAGCCAATCAAATTCCTTGGAGACATGTTGGTCTGTCCCAGCTGGTTCCTGGTGGGAGGGCTGCACTGAGATACGGCCCCATATAAACAGGAAGTAGAGGAGCTCAACAAACCTCCAGTTCATGCTTTTCTGCCGGCCTTTTTCCTCTCATTCTTGCTCCATTCTGTGGAGTCCTATAGAAGAAATAATAAAAGAGAGAGAGAGAGAGAGAGAGAAAGAGAGAAAGCAAAAGAGAGAGGAGGAGAGGGGGAGAGGAGTAAAAG